GGCCACGATGCCGCAGCGCTTGCTGGTGTGCCGCTGGTAGAAGTAAGGGTGGCTGAGCGACAGGCAGCGCTCCACGGCCATGGCGAACAGGATGAGCATGGACGCCAGTCCGAAGAAAGCCATGGCGAAGGCGCAGTACTGGCACAGGTCCAGCGCCTTCAGGCTCCTTCCCCGGGCGTAAGCCGTGAGCACCACCGGGCTGATGAGCAGAGTGCCGGCCAGGTCGGTGACCAGCAGCCCGGTCACCAGGATGTGGAAGAGCGATACGTGGCTCCGGTTGTCTTTCTTGTGCAGCCCCAGTATGACCAGGGCCACCAGGTTACCGGTCACCCCGGCGGTGAACATGAGGGCGCTGGTCAGGGGGCTCTCGGCCGCGAGACGCTGCTGGTGTTCTCGCAGGTCTCGTTGGACAACATAGTTCATTCACCCTCTCTCTCCTCTTCTCTCCTCTCTCTCCTCTCTCCAAAACAGCCGCCAGACGCACCTTTGCCAGAAAGAGTACTTTCCCAACCGCTGTCCCAGATGTCACGGTCGCCAACCGAATCCTTTTTCATGTCATCGCCCTTTGTGCTTTACGTTTTTCTTCCCTTTTTTTTTAAAACACAGATATATATATATTAAAAAAAACTCTTCTCTCTCTCTCTCTCTATATATATATATCTATGTAAATCTACACTTCACCCATACGAAACATATTATCTTAAAAGAATGTAAAAGAAAAAAAAATACACCCAATTTACACCTCTTTCCCCCCCACACTCTCACTCTCTCTCTCTCTCTCTCTCCTCTGCTCAAAAGCGAACAAACTCTTCCACATATATATATATAATATATATAAAGAAAACACCAACACGGAAAGAAACGTACAAAATCCAGTCGATTTGCCTCTTAAAATCCCTTTTTTTCCACACATCCCCTCTCTCTCTCTCTCTCTCTCTCCCTCTTACTCTTCTCAAGAAAAATCCAAACAAACACTCTCCTCCTCCTAATCCTCTTTTTCTCACGCCGGTTAAAATGCGATGGGAAAATCGAGACAACCGGCGGTGAGAGGGTGAGAGAGGGGTGAGAGAGAGGGGGTGGGGGGGGGGTGAGGGGTGGGGGGGGGGCGGGAGGTGAGGGGTGGCGGTGGGAGGGGGGAACGTGCGACGCGGGTTGAAGAGAGGCTCGAAGTTACTTGAGCAACATGTGGTGGTGGTGAGAGGTTGTGAGGGACTGGATGACTCCCCCCACACACACCCCCCACGTCACGTCACGCTACGCTATACTGACAAATCTCTTCCTTAAAAGTTCACCCGGTTAACCGCCCTCCTCCTCAACCGCTGCGTAAATGCCAGAAAAGCGCTCGGCGACCCCGAGCCGCCGCCACGAGAGTGAGTGAGAGCTGTGGGAACGCAGTCAGTCAGTCAGTCAGTCACCCTGGCGCCCACCCAGCGATTGACCACCCCACCCCTACCCTCCCACCCCCCCCCCACCCCACCCTCTCCACCCACCCACCCCCACCCCCACCCTACCCTCTCCACCCCCACCCCTACCCTCTCCACCCCCACCCCTACCCTCTCCACCCCCACCCCTACCCTCTCCACCCCCACCCCACCCTCTCCACCCCCACCCCTACCCCTCTCCACCCCCACCCTACCCTCCCACCCCACCCCACCCTCTCCACCCCCACCCTACCCTCTCCACCCCCACCCCACCCTCTCCCCCCCACCCCACCCTCTCCACCCCCCACCCCACCCCTCCACCCCCCCACCCTCTCCACCCCCCCCCACCCCCCCACCCCCACCCCCCCCCCACCCCTCTCCACCACCCCCCCCACCCCACCCTCTCCACCCCCCTCACCCCACCCCTCTCCACCACCCCCCCCCCACCCCACCCTCTCCACCCCCCTCACCCCACCCCTCTCCACCACCCCCCACCCCCCCTCTCCACCACCCCCACCCCTCTCCACCAACCCCACCCTCTTCCCTCTCCACCAACCCCACCCTCTTCCCTCTCCATCACCCCACCCTCTTCCCTCTCCACCACCCCCACCCTCTTCCCTCTCCACCAACCCCACCCTCTTCCCTCTCCACCACCCCCACCCTCTTCCCTCTCCACCACCCCCCCCTCTTCCCTCTCCACCACCCCCCCCTCTTCCCTCTCCACCACCCCCGCCCTCTTCCCTCTCCACCACCCCCGCCCTCTTCCCTCTCCACCACCCCCCCCTCTTCCCTCTCCACCACCCCGCCCTCTTCCCTCTCCACCACCCCCGCCCTCTTCCCTCTCCACCACCCCCACCCTCTTCCCTGCTTCTCCTTTCACATCTCACATCTTCCAGTCACTTTCTCTGCGAACCTCACAGTCTGTCAACTCAACCATTTCTCTCTCACTCTTTCTCGCTCTCTCTCTCTCTCTCTCTCTCTCGTAAATATCTCGAAGGGTTTTCCCCACAGCGAAATCTTGCCATTGGATAAACCGCACTGGGTGGGGAGGAGAGGAAGCCAAGAAGTTTCTGAATAATAATAATAATAATCCTTGCATTTGATACAGCGCTTTTCATGTCTTCCAGACGAGTGAATTGACTGTATATTTGGAGACTTGTTCTTTTTAAGAACTGTGGAAAACCACCTTCCAAAAAAAGTTTGAATGTAAGAATTTTCCACAGTTCTGGGCAATGTTAAATTTCAAGAAAAATATCTTGCTGACCAAGACTAGAAGGAAGTTCAAGTTTCTGTTTCGTTCTCAACTTTGATGGGTCTGAAATTCTCTGTGACCAATTTATAAAACCAAGGTCACATTCATAACTTTCACACCGGAGAATGACAAAACAGCACTCAGACCGATTTATTACCACTTCCTTAGCTCCACAGTCCTGTGTGAAGAAAGAAAATTAGATTTGTGGTTAACAGTTTGCGAGATGCAGTTAAAAAGATTTGTAAGACATTTGAACTGAGTGGAAGGCTCATTGTGTACAAAGCGATTTGTTTGTGGGAAGATCTGGACAGGTTGAGTGCTACACAAAGGACTAAGGAATGGTCCTTGTGTTGACAAGGTATGCTTTTTGAGGTGGATTTGACAAACTTTGGAGAGAATGTGGAGGTGGAGAGAGAGAGAAAGAACTACAAAAGAAGCTCCGTGTTGGAATTGACAATGAGCCAGTGATTGAAGCTGATGCAGTGTGAATTGGAAATGAAGCTGAATAAAATTCTAGGCAGCAGAGCAAAGATTGAGCACAAGTGCAGAGGTTCAATACAACGTGTTAGTTAGCGTTGTACTCTAATTTCAGATGTATGTGCTCTGGAAAGAATGTGCAGGAAAGCAAATAGGAGCATTCCTTGGATCAGCCACAGAATGATTGAAGGAGGTGTTTCTCCTGAAGCAGGCTAAGATTATTGGAGATTTAAAATTATTTTAAAATTCCTAGATACATGCATGTCAATATATTCTTGATACTACGTGTAAGGTAAAAACGTAAGAAAATGCATCTCTCGGGATATGGATTAAAGTCCTGTAGCTCAGTGGTTAGAGCACTCGCTTTGCAAGTGAGAGACCTGAGTTCAATTCCAGGCAGAGGGCGAAACCTTGGGCAAGTTTCCTTACTCCACACAGAGCCTAATAATAATCCCTCCAAAAAACAAAACAATAATAAATTGGTCATTTTCAATCTACGACGGTTTGTGGGACATTGCTGTGTGCAATTGGCTGCCGCGTTCGCCCACAAATATAGTCAATTCACTTTACAGTGTGTTCTGTGAAGCGCTTTGGGATGTCCTCCCGACGTGAAAAGCACTATATCAAATGCAAGGATTATTATTATTATAAAGTGCCACCTCGTGTGGTTGTTGCAATTCAGTAGTTGAAAATAAATATAATAAATAATCGGTCATTCTTTTCTTCCAAGAATCACGTGGATGCAAAGTATTACAGATACATTAGGAACAAACGCGTTTAGAATTTGAAAACATTAGACTAATGAAAGATAATATTTGCTGATAAACATGAATTTAAGACGTGAAAGGAGATGGGCTGCTAAAATGAGCAGTATGGATTTTTCTCCAATTGTATTTTAAAAGTAACTAGTAATGGTGTTTGATTTTCTTAGATTAGAAAATGATTTGTTTTCTCCCCTCTTGGAGAGCAAGCAATTAGATACCATTTGTTTCTCTGTGCTCTTTGTTTTAAATGTTGATAGCAAGTGGATTTTCTGGTGTAGTGGAAGCAATATGCTTTATATCATGGCAAATTTCCAGTCTTATTGATGGATGTGTTAGAAGGTGCCCAAGTTGTGGTCAACAAAAGAGAACGATTGTGTTATACAAACACACACCCTGCTGGTTGCTCACAGAACAGCTCAGGGCAAACGTGCTCTGGATAACAGATGCATCTTTATGTATCTTTATACAGCGATATAAATGGTTGAAAAATTGAACAAAATAAAAGACAGGTTATATGGAATGAACTTGCCCTCTGTCGACAGAATGAGGAAAGAACTCTGCAGAAGTCAAAAACAAATTCTAGCTCGAATGAGTGGATTTTAAGCACAATGCAAGTTGTTGTTATTGTTTGTGGGTTTGTTTGTTTGTTGTTGCGGTGGTTGTTGTTGTGTTTGTGTTTGTTTGTCTTGATTTGTTGTCGTTTTGGTTGTGTGTGTTTGATGTTGAGGTTTTGGTGGTGATGGTGTTGTTTATGGCTGTTGTTGGTCTTGTTTGTTGTTCATCTTTCTAAATAAAGGAATCCAAGAACCTGTTTAAAATGTGTGCACTCGCTCACTCTGCTCCTATGGGAAGCAAGGTATGTTTTGTAGGTGAGTGTTGAATGGAGCCTGGAGCTAGCAGAAAGTTGCTCAGAATAGTTATCAAGACATGAGTAATAGGTAAGGCAGGGATGTGCCTGAGGAGGAGGGCGAATGGCCCAAGGGAGACAGAGAGGTTTGAGAGAGGGTGAGCATGGAAAGGTGGGAGAGGAGAGGGAGGCTGAGTGAGCTCAAGAAGGATGAGGGCAAAAATGACAGAGTAGCAACTGGTGTCTAAGCTAAGATAATAATATATAATCCTTGCATTTGATATAGCGCTTTTCATGTCTTCTAGACGCCTCAAAGCGCTTCACAGATTACACTGTAAAGTGAATTGACTGTATATTTGTGGGCAAAACGTGGCAGCCATTTGCGCACAGCAGTGTCCCACAATCAGTCGTGGATTGAAGTGACCAATTTATTATTGTTTCTTTTTTTTTGAGGGATTATTATCAGGTGTGTGGAGTAAGGAAACTTGCCCAGTGTTTTGCCCTGCTCGGAATCGAACCCAGGTTTCTCGCTTGCGAGGCGAGTGCTCTAACCACTGAGCTACACAATTCCACACACGATGGATAGAGACAAAATTTAGCCAGTGTGACTGGGTAGTGGTGACCTAGCCCTGATTTTTCCTCCGTGCCACTGCTAGCCCCAT